GCCAATGCATTCGTTCACAACTTCTACACCACTGAATGTCTTCCCTTTCCTCTGGAGTATATCAGCTATTGACACTTTATAAGTTGCTTGAGTAGCATCATTTCTACTTCTTACTTCTGCTTGAAAGAACCGTCTTCACTTTTAATTTTCATCTTTTAATTTCTGCAACACAACCTTCTGCCCCTCTCCTTCTCATTTGAAATATCTGTGGTCCTTATGAGTGTTACAGTACTGAAAAGCATTGAGTTTCTTTAAGGCTGATATTGCAGTATCACAAAGCAAGCAAATCATCTTAACTTTAGCCGAAATAAGTTAATATTACAATTCCCAATCTTCATTAAAAAAAATCACTTTTCTTTCTTCAGCATTCCCCTGGTCTTCTTTGACATGATGGCCTATTAAGCAGACAGAATTTAAAAAATATGGTCTAGCTGTGCAACTATTCACAAATTCCACTTCAAATAGAAACACAGCACACTGTTGTCAAAATCTAAAAACAGACTAATGTACTTGACCCTCATAAACTCACCCACCAGTCTTGTGCAATACTGTGTTTCCCCGAAAATAAGACCTACCCCCAAAATAAGCCCTAGCAGGATTTCTATGCATTTGTTAAATAGAAGCCCTACCCCATAATAAGACCTAGTGATGTGCGTGGCTATGCAGCATATCCGCATAGCCACACCATGCATTTCGGTGCAGAGAGGAAGACATCCCCTAAAAATAAGCCCTAGCGTGTCTTCCTGAGAAAAAATAAATATAAGACAGTGTCTTATTTTCAGGGAAACACAGTAGTGGTACCAGTTGGGTGGGGGAAGTTAGAACTAAATCATGAGTGCAGCAGCCATCCATTCAGCCCTTGGGCTAGGCAATCTGGGAGGATTATTTCATTGAAACTTATTTTATTCTTTGGCATTTTAAATACATTCATTACAAAAATAAAATAAAAAATATAGAAGATAAAAATGTATTGACAAAAATAAAAGGATATGTTCTGTAAAATATGGATTCCTTCAGAAGGCTGCACTTAAGGACCTAGAAGCCCACAAGTCTCCTTAAGGCTGCAGGTTCCCCACCCCGGGGTTAGCTATTGTTACGGTTGTTGTGTTGATTTCAACACAGATATTGGCCCTGAGCGCACATCCACATAGGGATTAAGAGGGATTTGTCATAAGAACACCTCCAGGGACAGGAATTCTACCTCCTCCACATTTTGTCACTTGGACCTTTTTATCATACAGAGTAGCCAATTCACATTGACAATTCAAATGGAGATTATGTCTAATAAGAATAACAAAATAACCATAGACAACACATCTCTCCATCTACTGTATGCCAGACTGTATGCTAATTGCTTACATGTCTGACTTAATTTAACCCTAGGGTGACCAGATTTTAACATCAGTAAGGCAGGAAGGCAGGACAACATGGGGGGGCAGGGCAGGGCCTGACAACAACGCAAACTTTGATAAGCAGTTCTCCATAATCACTTCTCAGCAATTATTTATTATTATTACAGTTTAACATTATAAAATTAACAAAAATAATATAAAACTCATATTCTGGCGAAATAGCCACATGGCAGTCGAAAACTGTATATTTCTTGTTCTCCCGCCTGTTCGTGCATTATTTCCAAAAATTGGGACTTTTTTAAAATGCTGCGGGACGCGGGACAAACTGTTGAAAATCGGGATGTCTGGTCACCCTATTTAACCCTCACCACACACCATGCGATATGGGTGCTATCACCATCCCCATTTACAACAGAGGAAAGGAAAGCTCTGATGAATGACACAGCTTGCTCAGGGTCACACGAATAGAAAGGGGCAGAGCTGGGATTCAGCCATCAATGCAACAAACCCCAAATGAACACCTGGACAGTGCTGTTGGAGGCAGGAGAGAGAGATATGTCATATAACCAGGGCAAATTGCACTGTTAATTGCACTGGGTTGAATAAGGTTCCTCTAAATTTCATCTCAAGCCAGAATCTGTGTATGTGACCTTATTTGGAAATAAGGTCTTTGCAGATGAGCCCATACTGAATTAGGGTGGTGCTTTCTTTATTCTTTTTGTTTTTTTTGAGACAGAGTCTCACTCAGTCGCCCCGGTAGAGTGCCGTGGCATTTGAGGAAACAACTTCAAACGCTTGGGCTCAAGCCACCCTCTTGCCTCAGTCTCCCAAGTAGCTGTGCCTACAGGCACCTGCCACAACACCCACCTATTTTTAGAGACAGGGTCTCACTCTGGCTCAGGCTGGTGCTGCGCTCCTGAGCTCAGGCAGTTAGGGTGGGTCTTAATCCAGTGACTGGTATCTCTACTGAGAAAGGAAGTTTGGACACAGGCACAGAAGAACACCACGTAACAACTGAAGCAGAGAACAGAGTCTGCAAGCCAAGAACACCACGAGTTGTCAGAAGGTACCAGAAGCCAGGAGGGAGGCAGAGAACAGACTCTCCCTTGGAGCTTCCAAATGGCGCCAATTTTGCTGACACCTTGACCTTGGACTTGGGGCCTCCTGAACTGTGGAAGGACAGGTTAATGCAGTTTCAAGCCCACTTGGTTTGTAGTCATTTGTTCCAGTGGTCCTAGGAAACTAATACACTAATAGAAAGTAGAAAATAGAAAAGACACTTTGTCAAGTCACCGCTAGCCAGGCCGAGTTTGGCAATAAGAGCTCACGTCTGAAAGTCACGGTTCCCCACTGGCGGTGAGTAGGCAGGGGACATGCCGGCAATGAATCCATTCTCGGCCTCACAGGAAGTTCGGCTTTCCTGTCAACAAAGCACAGAATGAACAGCCATCGACCTCAGGCCAGTGGGCCGTCCACCTGGCCACTGTCACAAGGCTCGGATGGAGAGAATACTTCCATACAGGGAAGGAAAAATAGAAGAACCACCCAGCTCTGTTCGCATCTGACCCAGGACATGCCAGAATCCGTGCACTGGCAGGGACGGCTCAGGAGGAAATCGTGCAGGCCTCACAAATCTGAGGGTCAATAGCAAGCCAAAGATTTCCCCACAAACCCACTAGACATTGAAAGCAGAAGTCCTTCAGCATTTGGCAGTCCAAGTCCTCCTGGGGATCTGGCAGAGGCGACGTATGTATTAGCTCTTTCCCCACAAGGGGGAAAAAAATTCTATGTGCAAAATTTGGGATGCCACTTCCGGGCATTTGGAGCTCCTAAAGCCCCACTGATTGCTGAACAAATACTTATTTGTTCTCTATGTGCCGTGCGCTGTGCTGTACAACATGCTGGGAGCAAAAATGAGGAAGAAGAGGGCCGTTTTCTTCCTCCAGTTCAGAGCGAAACAGGAAGTGTAGGAGTTTTCTGTGGCTGTCATAACATTTTATCATAAACTGAGTGGCTTAAAACACTTCAGGGGGCTGAAGGTCTGAAACCAAGTGGCCAGCAGGCTGGTCCTTCTGCAGGCTCTCAGGGAGAATCGGCTGCCCGCCACCTCCTCCCCTGCTGGGTGCTGCCTGTCCTTACAGTTCTTGGCTTATGGATGCCTCTCTCCAATTTCTGCCTCTATCCTCACGTTTCCTTCCATGTGTGTCTCTCTTACAAGGACACTCGCCACTGGACTTAGGTCCCACCCAACACCATAACATCATGAAGATCCTTCACTAATAACATTTGCAAAGACCCAGTAACCAAAGACCTCAATGACCCATTGAGGGTGGACATGCATTGGGGGAGGGTGCTATTCAACCCAACACAGCCAGCCCAGATGATTAAACAATCACCCTTGAAAGCAGCAAAGAAGATGACAGGGAACACGTGTGGCATCCGAGAAACCTTTCCTGCAGCCCTCGTGTAGAATTGAGACCTAAACAGTGAGTCGGAGCCACTTACACGGAGGAAGGGGAGACGCACCAGGAGGAACTCACATGAGACCCACACAGGCAGAGGCGAGAGGTGAAGACGGCGGCAAGAGAGAAGGGGTGACAGGAAAACCAGTTTGTCAGATGCAGGACAGAGCTTAGATTTTTTCCTGAGGGCCACAAAATGCCTCTGAAGGACTGGAAGTAGAAGTGTGTTTCTACAAAGTTCGCCTTGGCAGAGCTGAGGAGGAAGAATTGGAGTGGGTGAGACCAGATGCAGGGACCCCCACCCAAGGTCTCACATACCTCGGGGGAAAGCTCCAAGCTCGAGGATGCAAGCGATTGAAACTCTGTGAAGATGCCCTGGGCATTCTCCTAAGCAACTAGCTGGAAGGATTCCCACCGAGCCAACTGGAGGAGTTTAACCCAGCACAGACAGGATCCAAGCTGACCAATCAGACCAACATTAACCCAAACGTCTGGAAGCGCTGACACCTGTTCTCCATCTAAGTGGCATAACAAAAATCTGCGATGGCTATCTTATAAACACGTGGACCCATCAGACCACACGCCACTCCCCTTTTACAGACCCTTAGAGTTAATTATGTCTTAGATGTAAGTCACTTCTCTCTTAAATAAGTCTCTGGGCCTCCCAAACTCTTAGTTGCTCTTCACAGGGCATCTTCTCCCTTGAACTCCCAGGCCGGGTTCCAAACTTCTCTCTGAACTTCCAAAACTCCTGATGCAGGCCCAGGGACATCTTGCTTATATTTCTTACTTCCCTTTTAACCTATCTCCTCTGCCAAACAATTAGTTACTTGAGGGAAAGGATTTTTACCTTGCTCACCTCTATGTATTCCCACCACACATAATTTTTGTCATCAGATGGATGGATAGATGGATGGACAGGTGGATTGATAAATGGATGGCAGGTGATGTATAAATGAATGAATGGATGGATGGACAGAGGATGGATAGCTGGATGGATGGATGGATGGATGGACAGATAGATTTTTCTCATGGTGCTCTACGGCCTTCAAACCAAATCAATTAATATATGAATGAAATTAGCAGGGATCCATCAGTTGCTCCTTGGGTGCTTTACACTACCCCTACCACATGGATTAGGGTAAGACATCCCGAGAGACACCTGTTTGGCATCCTCAAGACTTACCTCATTCCTTCCGAAGCCATCTTATCGAGGTTGGGAGTGAACTTTCTTCCTGCCCAGTTTGCTCCCAGGTCACCCCACCCCATGTCATCGGCCAAAATGATCACGAAATTCGGTTTCTGGCCTCTTGTTTTCCCACTGGTATAAAAATCCACAAAAGGATAAAGAAATCCTGACAAACTCACTCCCACCAACAAGACCTTTAAGAAAAGCCAGCCCATGGTGGTGACGGTAGGATCCCAATTGTTGAGACTTTTCCAAGGGCTCCTTTTCTGTTCACTTTCAAAGCAGGAAGTCCCTGGGGAGTAGGGATGGCGTTAGTGGTAGTGGTGGTGACAATGGCTGCAAGGGTGATGGGGACTACACAAATAAGAGCCCCATCTGGAATCCTAACTCAAGACAGTCAGGAGCCTTGCAACTCCTAACTTGGCTTCATCATCTGTAGTCAGTTTCCCCGTCCCGGCTCACAGTCAGGGGACGGGTTATGCTCGACATTCAGTGCCTTTGACACCTAGAAAGTGACCATCTGTATCAGGAGTGTTAGAGCCATAGCACGAGCTCCACATCTGTTTGGGACTCCATCTGGTGACTACAGGCTGGATTCGCGCATCTGCAGAACACCTGGATATTCTAGAAGCCGCAGTCAGCCCCAAGTTCAGTTTCTGGGCTCCAGATGGTTGAGGGCTTCATGTTTCTGTAAAGTTCCCTGAAAGAACAGAAATTGACAAGAAAACAGAGTTAAAATCGCCAGTGCAGCTGTGTTTTACTCAGTAGCTTAGGAAATAATCACTTTTCCATGCCAACAGATGTTTTCCTTTTTATTCGAATATTTAACTGGTTCATCAGTTTCTCCACCTGAAAAATAATAGTGGTGATAATAATATTTGCAATAGACCGATGGTCACAGGGTTGGAAGCCACATCAGAGATGATCTCTCTCAACCCACTCGCTCTATAGACGGGGACTCGGAGGCCTAGAACACTAAAGGAACAAGGAATGGCCCCCAAATCTGCTTACCCACCTTTGCCCCCACACTCTTCTGATTCACAGGAAATTTCTAAATTATTTGTGCTTTTATCAAACCTATTGAGAGTTCTCAAAGAAATCCAAGAAGAAATTCTTCTTATTACCAAGACACAATTCTTTGTTAACAGTCATGCTATAACCTAACATTCCTCTATAAAATGCTTGATAGAAATTACTGGCGGGGGGGGGGGGAGGAAAGGAATTATAAAAAAATAAGTTAATAATAGAATCTAGGTAGGGAATATATAGGTGCTCACTGGAGAACTCTTTCATTTTTTTAATTTTTTTTTTTTGTAGAGACAGAGTCTCACTTTATTGCCCTTGGTAGAGTACCATGGCGTCAGAGCTCACAGCAACTCCAGCTCTTGGGCTTAGGCGATTCTCTCGCCTCAGCCTCCAGAATAGCTGAGACTACAGGCGTCCACCAAAAAACCCGGCTATTTTGTTGTTGTTGCAGTTTGGCTGGGGCTGGGTTTGAAGCCACCACTCTCAGTATATGGGGCTGAATCCCTACCCACTGAGCCACAGGCACTGCCCTCATTTTTTAAATTTTTTATAGAGATGGGGTCTCACTATGTTGCCCAGCCTGGTCTCGAACTCCTAGGCTTAAGAGATCCTCCTACCTCTCACTATGTTGCCCAGCCTGGTCTTGAACTCCTGGGTTCCATGCCAGCTGGAATTCTTTCAGTTTTGCTGCATATTTATAATTTTCATAATAAAATGTTAGAAAAAGATTTCAAAACAGATTTTTTTAATGGAAATGTGTCCCTTTAACATCCTGACCATGTAATTTTTAAGTAAGAAATCTAAAGACACATTTGACTGGTACTTCTCAGAGGTGGACGTATATATGAGTTAGCCGGGGATTTCATTTCTTAAAATACAGATTCGGTAAGGCTGGGGCCTGGAATCTGGTTTTAACCAGCCCAGGTGAGGCCCATACCGCTCACACCTTGAGCAGTTAGATACTAGAAACCAAAAGCATCATGAGTCTGGTCCTAGAGGAAAAAGGAAACTGTTTAAACCCAACTAGCGATGACTCAGCTTCAGCAGACAAACAGAAAGCAACATATCAGATTGGGTTTTAAAAGACAGGAACCCAAGGTTATACTTTAAGTTTCAGGTTGCAAATGGAGTGGAGAGTAAAACCATATTACTGCTGGTTTCCTTAAAAGCCCTAAATTTGCAAGTTTAATAAGGAGACACAAAGTTGAAATTCTAGACTGAATAAAAAACTTCACTTGTACACCCAACCCATGCAGGGGATTAAAGGAGAATCAATTTGTAACATATTAAAGAGGCTACTAGGACCACTGCGTGTCCCTATCAGCCAAGTCCATGGTCATCCGAGTGGCTGAGGGTAGTTGGAGGTATATAAATTCTGGAAGACTTAGATAAAAATGAAAAAGTCCGTCAGATACACACTTAAATCAAAGCAAAAGAAAGTCCAAGTAAACAGTCATGGTCATCTGCAGGCCAATGAATCTATTGTTCAGAAATGCAAATTCTTCCGTTTTCCAAAAGGAGAGTTATTATTTCAAATTCAATTAGATTCAACTGGTATTTGTTGATCTTGAGGCCCCAAAGACTTCTCCCTTTCTAGAAGAAAGCGCCTTTGCACGAGGAGGGTGTTGAACAAACCTTTGTTGACCTGCTGGTTGAGTCCCAGTTCTTTCTATTGGCGTGTGACCATGAGCCACACACGGGGGAACTTTTCTTCTCAAAGCTACTTAGCTTGGAACACTAGAGCAGGCTCATTCTTGGTCAGTAATCCATTTTGGAATGACCCATACTACAAGACCTCAGGGGGAAAAAATTCACTTAAGAAAAGAAGCTAAAATTAAGGTGGGAACATAAATAAACAGATTGTATTTCTGCAGAGTTCTGTAATCGAACATTCCTTTGAGGATTTTCAAAGAGAATCATTAACACTTAAAAGTTTTCATAGAATGGAGAGAAGCTAAGTTAGCCAGCACGCCATTGCATTATGCTTCACACCCACCCCTCCAGGGAGACACTGCGTCCTGTCCCCCAAAAGGCTAACCAGACATTCAAAGCATGGACTCTTGGGCAAGGATGTGGATGGAGAGCTGAGCTCAAACTCTGAGCTTGGATCCCCTAAAGAAATTGGCCCCACTTGCTGCCCTTTGACGATATCTGATGTCACTTTCCCAAATTTGTCTTTACTTATCATTCTCAGAAAGGAGAGGTGAGCCGCACACCCACCCCTCCAGGGAGACACTGCGTCCTGTCCCCCAAAAGGCTAACCAGACATTCAAAGCATGGACTCTTGGGCAAGGATGTGGATGGAGAGCTGAGCTCAAACTCTGAGCTTGGATCCCCTAAAGAAATTGGCCCCACTTGCTGCCCTTTGACGATATCTGATGTCACTTTCCCAAATTTGTCTTTACTTATCATTCTCAGAAAGGAGAGGTGAGCCGCATGCACAGAGCTGTCTCCTGGCTATGAAGAAAGGGGGAAATCTTTGCCAAATGAAGCATTCACCCAGCCTTCCACCAGGGGGGAAGGTACTTGGCCCTTTACTCAATAAATCCCACCGCGAAGGCCCATCTGTCTGATCAGAGCACAAGTACAGGCAGCTCCCCGCGTCTCAATGCTCCCCAGGCAGGAGTCGAGGGAACTTGACTTGGTAATCAGCCTTGCTGACATTCATGTTCTCCTTCACAACCCCCATCTCAATGCAGCCTGCTCCATATGCTGCAGTTTGCCCTCCCTTCATGTTCCAGGCTTGGTTGTGAGTGAGGGTACAAGGGAACGCCCGAATGACCAACAGGCCAGAAGGGCGAGGGGTGAACGGGATGAGGCAACCTGAAGATCCGCTGAGCCGGGTCTGAATACGCCCGAGCTGGAAGTCCTTGGGCTTCCTGAGCCGCTCGCTCCATCACCTGACCCTGGGTCCCAGGGGTCTCTCTGTGGCCAAGCATCCTCCTAGAGAACCTTGAAAACAGCTGAAATAACAAGGTCAGGCAGACCTTTCTGGCAGAGGGCTCTGTTGGTTTTCCAGAGACAAAAGCTTCAGATGAGCTGAGGCCAAAAAAGACAAAGAAGCAGGGGGAGTGGGTCTCTGGTTGCAGAGGGCTGTTGTTGTACCTGTCAAATCAGACTACAGCGTGTGTGCCTGCTGGAGGCAGAGAGTCATGCAGGGCTGCCAGGAGGGGCCCACGTGGGGTCTGAAACGATTCCCCCATGCATGCAGTCATTTGTCCACCAAATGTACACTGAGTGATAGTCTCAAACGGGGCAGTGTCTACAGCCACGAATGGAACACACAAAATTCCCTGCCCTCACACCAGTTACTTTGTGGTGACAGGGTGGGGTAGGAGGTAGGAGACATGAAATCAGTAAAATGTAAACACCATAGAAACTCATGGCCCGGTGCGGTGGCTCACACCTGTAATCCTAGCACTCTGGGAGGCCGAGGCGGGTGGAATGCTTGAACTCGGGAGTTTGAGACCACTCTGAGAAAGATCGAGACCCTGTCTTTCCTAAAAACAGAAAAACTAGCCAGGCATTGTGGGAGGAACCTGTAGTCTCAGCTACTTGGGGAGGCTAAGGCAAGAGGCTCGCTTGAACCCAGGAGTTTGAGGTTGCTGTGAGCTATAGTGATGCCATGGCACTCTATCCAGGGTGACAGAGTAAGACTGTGTTTCAAAAAAAAGAAAAAAGAAAAAGAAAATCAAAACAGGAAGAAGATGAGGCCTGTGGGGAATGGGTAGGTACAAAGTTAAAGAGAGTGGCAAGGAAAAATGTCACAGAGAAAGTGATGTCTGGGCAAGGATCTGTAGGAGTTAAGGGAGGAAGCCATATAGCTGGCTATCAGGATGCCCTGCAGGGAAGCTGGAGACTTCAGCAAAGGCCAAGGTCTGGCACATGTGAAGAGCATCAAAGAAGCCACTGGTATCCAGGGACAGTGGTAAGCCCTTGTATGTAGTCCCAGCTAATCGGGAGGCTGAGGCAGGAGGATTGTGTGAGCCCAGGAATTTTGCATTGCAGTGAGCTATGGTGACACCACTGCACTCTAGCCAGGGTGACAGAGTGAAACTCTGTCTCCAAAAAAGAAACAAAAAGAAGCTACTGGAGAAGTAGCAGCAGGAGGAGGGGCACGGATTAGGCAGAGTCTTCAGAGAGGAAATGGGAAGCTCTTGCTGCATGCAATAGGACGCCAGAGGAAGGATTGAGCAACCGTGGCAAGATCTGACTTTAACATGTTCCAGAATACACAATGTCTGAGGCCAGGCAGCAGGTAATGGAGAGGCGGAGAAGTTAGGAGTCCATTGCATCAGGCCAGGTGAGTCCAGGTGAGAAGTAGTGCTAAGGTGAGAATGAGACAAGGGAAGATGCTAGGGCACAAAATTTAAGGAGGCAGTACTCTTCAGGAGGCCACCCTGCACTTGCAGACCCAGGCAGCAAACACCTCCTTAAATTTTGTCTCACCCTAGTTCAAGTCCAGGTAGAGAGGGAAACTCAGTTACCGCTGCAGTCAGGACTAATGTATTTATTATAAGAGCTACATGTAAAACACATCCTCACAACCCCCCCCCACCCATTTTACCCTGAGACCCCCAACGTGTCATTCTGGAGCTGCCCCAATTCGCAAAGATTGCTTTCTTAGAGTATGAGGGCAAAGGCATAGTCTTAGCTCAACAGAGGGTGCAAAAG